ATGCCTTTTAGTTCCCCTTTGGTTAACTACTCTCCAGTGAGGGTTTTAAATATTAAAGTTTAAATCAGTTCTCTCAAAGACAAATCTTCCATCCCCCCCCCCCCACACACACACACCTCTTTTGTAACCTGGCAATTTCCTCCAACATGATCCTCCTCCAGGAAGTAGACCCAAACGACAGCCCAGCTCTGACGCTTCCTGTTTGTAGCAGGCCTGCATGCTTGCTTGGTGTGTGCTTGTTCTGAACCAGATGGTATAGACACCCCCATGACCCCCCCCCACCGCTGCTGTGTGCTGGGCACAGTCATTTGTGCCCAAGGTCACAGATGAACTTCACTATATTAACAGTTGAGATACTCATCTCTATGAGCAGATCTGGGCTTCTTCCAGGGTTTCTTTTCCCTGATGGAGTTTTCAAGAATGACCTTTCCGAAGATAAGGTCATTTCTGCTTCTTCTACATTCCAGGAAACAAACGGAAAGTTTGTTTGTTTTTGTTTTTGTTTTTTTTAGAGACCTTTTAGAAGCAGGAAAGTCTGAACCAGGGTCTAAATACTAGCTGCTTGGATTGGAGACTGCCAACACCCTGCAGCCATTTTTGGGGCAGGCTCTCCAGTACTAGTGGCATTTAAGATGAGGCACTAATGGTAAAGACTTAGGATATAACTCATGTACAGTCCGAATATTGGCTTCTTGGGGAGGGTTCAGGAACCTACCTCCAACCATAGGGTCTCTGAAGGGTCCTTCAAGTTTTGGGTTGCCTCTCCCAGCTATAGAGACCAGATGTAGTTAGGCCAATATAATTAGCAGGCAACAGGGACACACAGCATGATCCTATCCTTAGCAATGAGTTGGCTTTAGGGTAGATGTCCTGTGGGGGAGATCATAAGTCCTGACAGAGTAAGGTGCCCACAACTGATGACATTATGGACCAGGTCTCCTGCAGCCGCCCTGCCCCCAAGCCACCTTCTTGGAATAAGTCTCCTTTTCTTGCTGTTTCTTCTACAATGCTACAGGCCCTTCCTGCTCTACTTTGGTTAGAGGAGGGTACAGAGACAAAATTCAGATAACCTGTCCGTTATTTACAACAGTTATAGAGAGAGCCTCAGGGCTACGATACAGGACTTGAAGCATTTCAACTTTTATTTTCTAAACCATTCATTTGTTTTGTTCGAGACAGGGTATTACATAACTCAGGCTGGCTCTAAACTCACCATGTGACCAAAGGGTGGCCTTCAACTCTTGATCCTCCTGGCCTCTCTTCTCTGGTATTGAGGTTGCAATACCTATGTATTTGGCTAGACCACAATTTCTTTGTTTGTCTTAGTCAGGGTTTTATTGCTATGAAGAGACACTATGACCATGGCAACTCTTATAAAGGAAAACATTTAATTAGGACTGGTTTATGGCTCAGAGGTTTGGTCCATGATCAGCATGGTAGGAAACATGGGAGCATGCAGGTAGACATGGTGCTGGAGAGGTAGCTGAGAGTTCTACATCTAGATCAGTAGGCAGCAGGAGGAGAGAGATACTAGGTCTGGATTGAGCTTCTGAAACCTCAAAGCCCACCCCCAGTGACATACTTTCTCCAGCAAGGTCATACTACTCCAACAAGGCCACACCTCCTAATGGTGCCACTTCCTATGAGTTTATGAGGGTCATTTTCATTCAAACCACCACAGTGTTTATTGAGAAAGGATACTGGGAAGTTAAGTGCCTTGTTTTATTGCAATTTTAAAATAATGTAGAAACAAATCAACCAGTCACAAGCTCCTAGAAAAGTAAAAAGTGTATACACACACACATACACACACACACACACACACACACACACACACACACCCTCTCAGTAAGAATGTTGCTAGCTTGGTCCCATCAGTCCCAACAATCTAGTGCATCTGTCACATAAACAAGGGGCAGTCTCTACAGAGCTGCGGCAGATCCCTGCAAGTCTGTTACCACCGGTGAACCTCACTTTCCTCCGTGCCCACCAGTGGTCCTCACTCAACTTGAATGCCTCCACGTGTGGAAGACTTTGTTTATTCCCAATGTGATATGGTTGAAAAGTGATGGCACCTTTTAAAGGGGGGTCTAGACATGGGTGCGTATCCTCTGAGGAGACTGTGGAAGGACATCCCTTCCTCTCTGAGTTTGTGCTTTTTGACCCTAGATGTGTGGTTTTGCTCTGCCAGATGTCTCTACCACTGTTGGGCACTGCAGACCCTCAGACCCTGAATTTCCTGTGACTCCTTGCCTGCCAGAGTAGACAACGTGTTTTCCTATGCTTGTAGCTGCTCTGAGCATGAGACCCTCATGAGTTTCTGATAGCAGGGACTGGTTTCTGGTGGGCTTGCAGCTGAAAAGTCCTGAGAGCTAGGGCATGGCCATTAGTCAAGGAGAGCCTTATGTAAGCTGCCCTGGAACACAATAAAGGGGGCATTCTTGTTTCAAGAATGACCCGTGTCTCTGTCTCTCTCTCTCTCTCTGTCTCTCTCTCTCTCTGTCTCTCTCTCTCTCTCTCTCTCTCTCTCTCTCTCTCTCTCTGTGTGTGTGTGTGTGTGTGTGTGTGTGTGTGTTTCTAGCTCCATCCCGTGGTAGACAGGCAGTACTGTACAGTGGCCTGTACACACGACAGGCATCTAGGACCATTTAATTGTGGATTCTGACCTCCAAAATGGTCAGGCAGAACAAACATTTTCTTTTCACAAATTGTCTGGGGCATTTTGCTATAGTGGCAGAAGCCGACTTATACTGTTCAGAATCGGGGTTACAGTGGGTGAGCAGGTCTCATTAGCAGGCTAGGCAGTAGGGCAGGATGAGGTTGGCATGTGGTTGCAGGGCTCAGAGGGGTACCGAAAGATTCCATCATCAAGATGAGCAACAATCGCTGCAGTGTTTAAACGATTAATGCATGAAAATCCATGAGCAAAGCATCAGAATTTGTAACACAGTGCAGTCTTGCTGATTTTCCCTTTGCCTTGGGTTCCAGCGTGACCTCCAGGGAGGCCATGGCATTGCCGTTGGATTTCTTCCATTCTGCAGCATTTGTTAGTGTTTTCTTGACTTTTATGACCTAAACCTTTTTTGCATACTAGGGGACTATCTTTCCAGTTAGGTTTGTCAGGTCTTGATGGAATTGTTACAGAACAGTTTGGCAATGCGGCACGGGTTGCTGTGGTGCCTGGCTACATCTTAGCCTGGTTTCTCTTGCTGATGACAATAGCATGGGAGCGGGTAAGTTAGAAAGAAAGTGCTGTTTATTTTGGCTCATGTTTCTGCAGGTCCAAAGTCAAGGGCCCGTCCCGGCTGGCAGGGTCACAGACTGGCTCCGGGTGTCACAACATGGCAGGAATCAGGGAGAATATGTTCCTGTATTGAAGTATCCGTCCCTATTCTTATAAAGCTACCAAGATTCAAGTTATGGGGACTCCTCTCTTGAGTTTACATAACTGTAGTCTCTCCCGAAAGATCTCATCTCTAAGCCTCAGTTTTAGGTTTCCACCATCTTGACATCTCATGGTGGGATTTGGAGGAGGCAAACCATTCTGAAGCAGCCACAGTCCCCCTGGCTAATGGTTCAGGGCTTCGCCGGTAATCCTTATGTAGGTCACTTGACTCAGGTAGTTTTTGATCAGAATTTACACTGTAAAATCTCTCCTTTTGCTTTTATAATTGTAAGTATGTTGTATAGTACTACTTTGAAACCTTATGAAACCAAAGCAGATATTGTTTTGAAACGTTGAGTTTACTAGTGCCTGTGGGAACTCACGGTTTCCCGGTTTAGTCAGAGGTCACAGCCCATTAGCATGTCTATTAGTCTTGTGCCTTGCTTAGTCAGTGGGTTCCCTTCCATCCAACCTCTGTATCCTTTTGAAATGTCTCTAGAGTTCTTTGGGCTTTTGCTTGCTTTCTGCCAACTATAATAGAACACATTGTTCTACCGCTACCGTCCCAGGGCTAGAACCAGCCATGGCCAGAGTCCTGCTGCTTCCAGTAGGAAAACGGTGTGTTTAAGGTGTATGAGCACCAAGAGCTGCATTCCTGTGAGCTCATTGCTTTGGAGTATTGTCGTTCTGGGACTGCGGGCTCAGGTTGGCACTATGCTTCTATATCTCCACACACCTCATTAAACCGTGTTCTGATCCTGTGACAAAAGAAGAAAAATCTTGTTTTGTCTCACAGTTGGGGAGGTTTCAGCCCGTAGTCCCATTGCTTTTGGACCTGTAGCCAAGCTGTAGGTCCTGGTGACAGTACACAAGGGAACCAAACCACCTGCCTCATGTCAGCCAAGAAACGAGAGAGAGGGCCCAGGGTCCTACTAGTCCCTTCATTGGCTTGTTCTCAATGATTTTATTTCCTCCCATGAGGCTCTGCCCCTTGTAGTGTCCTAACTCCTCCCGAAGGCTGATGACCAAGGTTTTGGCACATGGACTTTTGGATGACACATATCCAAACCACAGCACACACATATACTGCATATGTTTACTTCTCTGTCTGTACTGAAAACTGAATTTACAAGGATGTCTTATTCCAGTCTTTCCCCATAGAATTCTCTTTGGAGTTTCACCTCGTATGGATGCCCTTCTCCAGCGGTGGGAAAGCTGGCTTCTGTTGTTCCTGATGTATTGATCTATTAATGCCCCTGTGGCTAACCCATCTGACATGTTCATTGATTTCCACCCCCAAACTGGGCACCTGCTCATAATCTGGATGTCCAGAATGGGCCACTCTGCCCTCCCTCAGATGCCCTCAGGATCTCCATCACTTAGGGGGACACCTTCCTTACCTGCTGAGCTCCAGCGGTAGTGCTTTGTCCTGGGTGACCCTAGGCCCTCCCCTAGTCCCTTCCCCACACAAACCCTCCCTCTTCTTAGGATGGAAACCTCCTGGAGAAAGAGTCACGTGCATCACTTTTTAAATCAAATCAAATCAGAACGGAAGTGAATATTCAGGATAGTGAACAATAACAAACTTCACACGACCACCAGAATTTCTTAACTAGTAAGCTCTTTAGAATGGAAGTCTTCAGAGTACAGTTTCAGAAAGGTTGCAGCTACACGCAGGACAGCGCAGGCCAAGTGGGTATAAGTCAAGCTTCCTCGTCGGAAACTGGGCTGTTTGCTTCAGCAACTCGAGGGAAGAAAACATGAAGTCTCCAAAATCAAAATTAATGTTATTTTTTTTCAGGGATTTGCAGGAGGTTGACCAGCCTAATTGCACCATTTGGGTGTGTAACGTGCTGGAGAACATAATTTTAAAAAGGACTGAGAAACTGTGCGGTGTCTTAACTCGGGTGGGACTGTATTTACTGCAGTAACTGAATGTGACTGTGTGTCTATGTGACTGAAATGGGAAAAGCAGTTTGTAAAAAACAACAACAACAAAATGTCCATTCTATCCCTCTGGACTTCCTTAATTATAAATACCAGGTAGCCTAGCACAGGCTAAATATAGGCCCGGTGGCCATCTCTATTTATAACATTTTTAGTAGGAAGTCACCAGAGCAATTCAGAATTAATTTGGTGTGTAGGTTTTTACGGGTTCTAATTAGTCGTGTTTTTCTTAAGCTGGCCAACTGGGATCAATAGTGTTATATAACTGAGCCCAGGGGACCGTGACTTAGACGTGGACTCCTCCAGAAAGCCAAAGCCCTTGGAAGAAGTCAACCCAAAGAAAGACAGGCAGCTCCAGAAGCCGCTAGCTGCAGCTGCAGGGAAGAGGGGCTGGAGACGGCTGTGTCCAGCCAAGGGCAGGCTCCAGGAATGATAAAGGGAGGCATTTTTTATTTTTTATTTATTTTTTTCCGTTGGAAGCTGCAAATCTTCTACCCATTCATTTGGAGACCTTGACGGGTGATGTTCCCAGGCCTGCTTATCAGCTGTTCCCTTGAGGCTAGATTCAGTTGCTCCAGCCTGGGGAGGTGGGATGATGTTTTCCTGGACTGTAGGCAACTCCCCACAGAGCCAGCTTTCTGACCTTGGGGATGGTGGACTTTTGGAAGACTCTGGATGTCATCTGGGGTGGAAGCTGGTTTTCAGTAGTGACTCTGCTGCACGTCAGACATGGTTGATTAGGTTGGGACTCCTCCTCTATTCCTTCAAGTAACGCTGTCTTGAAGAATACAGGGTGAACTCCAGCTGGCAGCACTACGGGGCTCACCCTAGGGTGAGAATAAGTGCTTGTGCTTAAAATAAAATCTCAAAAGACTCGGCTCGGACATGGCTCTCACACTTCCCTCCTGTGGCTCTGCAGGTTCTCCGTGCTCCTCACATCTGTGGGTGTGCTCACCATGAATGAACTCCAGGCGCCTGAGTAGATGAGCTACGCCTTCTAGATAGCTCAGAGGCTGTGTCTGCCCCAGCCTCCAGCCGGGAGTTGGTGTCCTGACTCCACCGCATAACGCTTTCCAGTTTCACAGATGTCCTGGAAGGGGGACCGGTTGGGAGAGAGTACAAAGGAAGACAGTAGTGTACAGGAGGGAAGGGACAGGGGACGGTCCGTCCTGCCTCTATACTCAAACTTTCCCTGAGCTCCTTTATATCGGTGGAATGACATCTATCTGATGTCACTTGGGTCTGGAATTCTGAAATTTGCTTGGCTTTGCTATGTTTTCCAAGCTTCTGTACACCAGAGACCCCGACAGGTGCTGTGATTCCTGCTGTTGAGATTTCAGCAAATGGGGGAAGTGGTGAGAGTCGTGATGGCTACAGGTGGGCCAGCTGAGTCTGGGGCATCCGGGAAGGCTTCCTGGAGGCAGGGATGACATTAGGATAAGATTACCAATAGCAGGAGCTAGTGGAGCCAGGGTCAGAGGTCCAGCACAAGCAGCACAGAGGGATGAAGCAGCAAAACAAGGCTCTCACTGGCAGCATCTCTGAAGGACAAGCCTGTGGCAAGAGAGGTGGCCTGGCTTGGTGGCTATGATCCGGATGTACTCTGCGAGGGGCTGTCCTCTGTGACAGGGAGGAGCTGGGGAGGGCTGGAGTGTGGTGCCCTTGAAGAGATGAATGGTCCGGCTCAGCACCCCAGGCCTGCCCCCGTGAAACAGGGCAGTGGACCATTTAAGGGACTGCTTTGAGAAGGTTGGGGGGCGGGGGGCAAAAGGATGGCGGTGGCTGCTCTAGTGGTGGTGGGAGTTGTCTGTGACCCCTGTGCCTGAGGACAGAGATGCTGAGAGTATGCATACTCCAGTCTCCCAACGCCCTGACCTTGACCATGCAGGGTACTCAGGATCCATCTGGATGGAGGGAGGGGAAGCTCCAGAGCAGCCAATGGCCCCAAGTTGAGTCCCAGGGTGCGGGGAGGGAGTGGGAAATCGGAGTCAATTGGCTGGCCGGGAGAAGGATCAGCCTCCTAGGAAGGGCTCAGCTGCTCTATTGCTCCAGGACCCACAAGCCCTGTCAGCACCCAGACCTCCATCTGGGGTCAGGCCCAACTTGCAGTAGATTTGTTGGAGCTCTTTGCCGGGTTCTGAAGTATACCACAATGGGGAGCCAGAAACCCAGGGCTTCTGAATCAAGGCAGTCAGCACTGGCTCCAGCAGCCCACTTGGGTATGATGGTTATGAGAAAATCAAGGATTTGCCTGTCTTTGGTCACATGTATCCATACACCTGAATGCTTATGTATTTATGTATATAAACTCCTATATATCCATATACATATGTAAAATACATTCAAATAGTATATAAACATAGTCACAAACACACATGCATATCTCTGTATGTATATATATATATATATCTGAATATATATGCATATGTATTTCAATACTTGGGTATTTCACACACAGCAGAACAAAACAAATCTTCATACAGCCCTGGAGCCATCCATCCACATACACACAGAGGCATAATGGAAAAGGTATTGAGCTTAATGCGTGACGCCGATAATTTCCCTTAGAAATGGAAACGAGTAGGCATTTGCTGAGCTATGTGGCCCAGTGTGCGTAACCTTCTGCCGAGGACAGACATCAGGTTTTTGGGATCTCCATGGCAGCTCTTGGCCTTTAATTATTCCAAAAGATAGAGGTTTGATGACGAAGAACCCTAGCTGTATTGTTAACAAGATAAGTGATCTTGAAGAAACGACTTCAGTTCCACAGCACAGTTCCTCTGTCTGCAAGATGAGGTTAGACCTAACAGCTAGCTCCCTGAGCTGTGAATCCATCTTAACTGGGATGGGCACGCTATCTGACACTTGCCTTCTGAGCTCCAGGCACTCAGTGCAAGTTGGGGGCAGCTAGGGACAGAATGGGGCAGTTGCTCCTCACTCCAGTCTCTCTTTGTACCTTCCTTGTTTGCACTGGGTGTCTAATTATCTAGTGTTTTTGAAATGTCTAATAGAGCCTCCTGTTAGGGAGAATTAAACTACGTTTGACTCTGTTCTCTGTGAGTTCTTTGATCTCATTTCTTCCTATGTTCTGGTTGAGAACATTTAGCAAGGCCTTTAATGCTGTTTTAATGATATTGCCAATTTTACCAACTAATGTATATAGTTACATATTGATATTGAGTAGCGAGACGTGAGCATTTGATATTCGGCAAACTGTTTTATTAGATAGTGGTCTCAGAGACAGGTTCCGATGAAGACATTGTGAAAATACCGTGGGCAAGAAAGGAAAACGGAAAACATTGAAGTTTTATGTTAGGATTTAAGAAACAGTGCCTTACACTGCAGCAGGCAGTGTTGCTGATGAAGAGCAGACAGGGGCTTGGGAAGGGTAGAGTGGGACCAGACAGGAAGGCCACAGGTGTGATGGGCTAGCTCCTCCTGTTCCTACAAAGGGGAGGGGGGAGAAGCTGCCCCCGGCTTGTGCATGGAAGTGTTTGTGGCACCCAGTGTATCTATCTCTGTAACAAGGGGCTATTCGGAGACGGCTTGAGCAGTGGGTGTGCAGGGTTGTACACTGACTGTAGGAGCAGAGCCAATGTCTGGCATAGACTATCCCAGGCCATGGCCCAGTGACAGCAGCTCAGGATGGACAGCCAGACAGCCAAGCATGTGTGTTCATATGAATGAGTGTCAAACCAAAATAAGGACGTTTCTAGACTGGGTGTGAAGCTCCGTGGTACATGCTTAGCATGTATGAGACTCTGTTCTGTCCCCAGCACACATTTTCTTCCAGTAAAGGATTTTTGCTTCTGCCTGTTCTGTCCATAGGAGTCCCTCATTATCTGAGGGACTCACATCCGATAGTTGTAGTTACACACAGTCAACCTCAGCCTAAAGACATTAAATAAAAAATTCTCAAGTACTTTATACTTTATAGCTTACATTGCTTTAGAATCATAGATATATTTATATTCATTGTGTTTGTTCTAGTTTGTTATTAAATGCTACGCCTAATTTTATTAATGCATTGTGAGCATGTCTATATAGGGGAAAATCATAATGTCTATGGGGTTTGGTACTATTGGTAGCTTCAAGTTTCCACCGAGGCTCTTAGATAGGAGACTTCTATATCATTACAAGTCTAGTATCTGCCAGTTTAACCATGAAGTTAAACCAAGGGAATAACAGTCATCTCAAGTCTTACTTGTGAATTCATATGTCAATTAGTGTCTGGTATCTTTGCTGGTCTTTGGACAGAATGGAGGTATTGCTAATTCAGAAATTTGGAGCTTCCCTCCCCCTATCGTGGACACTGGAGCCTCAGTCTCCCCATATGATGACCTCCTCTTACAAATGGCACAAGTGAGGTGGAGAGAGGCAGAGTCACAGGAGTCAGGGGCAGAGCACTCTCAGGTACCATCTGGTTGAAGCCAGAGAGCGGACCCATCCCCGAGAGACTCTGTCCACGCCTGGGGCCTGCCACCCGGGTATCCTGTCATCTGTCTTCATGACCAGAGCCTGAGGTAGGAAAAAGCAGTTTCCAAGCCTCGTAAGTGCTGCTCCAGCAGGGCCAGGTAAGAACTCAAGAGCTGCAACAGCAAAGGAAGAGCAACAGGAAATGGCTCCATAAGCAAACAAGTGGGTGTGGCCAGTCCAGTCGTTCTAGAAGTAGAACCTGGGAATGTACCCAAAGGAAGTGAAAGCAGGACTTGGGCAAATATTGGCACACCCTGTCCATAGCGGTAACATTCACAGTAGCCAAATGAGGAAGTAAGCTGTGTCCGTCACCATAAATGCAGTGTTCATTGGCCTTAAAATGGAAGAAAATTCTCACGCGTAATACAACATGGATAACCTTGAAGTCATGGTGCCAATCAGGATGAGCCAGGCACCAAAGGCCAGATGCTGCCTGGCTTCGCTGAAGCAGCTCCCTGCGTTAGCAGCTAGCTTTGCAAGGGCAGGAGGATTCCTTGGCTGAGGGCCCCTTCTCTTCTGCGGTGGAACTCAACCCTCCTACCAATTTGGACTTATGTACAAACAGGTGCAGTGCTGGCCATGGCTGACCCCAGAGGCCATTTGCCCAGTTAGTATTGTGAGGGTCATTTGTTCTTTTCCATCTTCCAAGACCTTGTGGGCCATTTCTAAGGATGATTGCAGGTGGCCCAGAGACAAGGGGACCAGGTGGCCTTGGGACTTTTAAGGGAAGGCATGGCTCCCCTGGCGTGGCTCAGCTACCCAGAGGCCAGTACTGCCCTGAATGACCTCCAGGACTGCCCCAGGAATCCTTTACTACATGGAATCCTTTATTTACAGCAAATTTCATTCCCCTGTCACCTTTTCTCTAAGAGGGAACTGACTTGAATGCTCAGACTTAAAAGACCAACAGTTATGTACCCCGTCCCCTCACACACACAGGGATAGTGGTGGTTCATAGGCATTCTTACTTACTAATTCCTGCTGGGCAGTGAGGCTCCTGGACCGCCTTTGGCTCGTATTGGTCTGCTACACCTTAGCAGTCTTTGGAGTGAGCAATAGGATTTACCTGTAGGAAAAGAGAAAAGTGCCCGTGCATAAGATAGGGCAGAGTCAGTGGCGTTTGTGATGGCAGAAAAAGATGTGGAAAATGGACAGAAAATTGGAATTGCAGGTAAGCTGCAGGTAACCGTGCATGGGGTGCTAAGTACCTACCCGGAGCCCTGCTTGTCCCCTCATATACATAGGTGTCTCATTCAGCAGATCTGGAAACAATCAACTTGCAAAATGGTACTTAACGTCTCATGAGGAATGAAAGCCCAGAGAGGGTCAGTCCAGGATTTCCAACAGAAAGAGTCAGGCAGCCTGTTTTATCCCAAATCCACAGCATCTGAGACCTTAAGAGAGGAATGGAGGGGCCTCAAAAAGGAGCCGGAGAGCTAATCCCAGCCCCCAGTAAGTGCTGTCATTGGTTAGCACCACCCTAAGCTCTCAACACTGAGTAGGTTGACCCTTGACTGTCTCAGTACTTGATGTTCTCTGTGTGTGAGAACAGAACATGCCAGGACAAGCCTGAGTAGAGGGGCTTTATATTTTTAATAAAAAAGGGCTGGCTCCTCAATGTAAGAACAGGAAGCAGCTGGGCTGCCAGACTGGCTGGCAAGGAAAGCTGAGAGTGGCAGAGACCCCAGCAGAACCTTTTTTGTATACTCATCCTGTCTTCTTGTGCAAAGACGTGGAAATGGTCGCTCACAGCGTCTCAATCCCGTGGTCTGTCCTAAGGACTGTCGTTTCATCTCTATTGGGCATCAGCAATTTAGAGCAAACAGACAGAATGGCTGTGAGGTTGGGGCAGCTGACGGTGTTCTACTGGCTAAACTTTAGTCCTGGTGAAAGTCAAGGGGAATCAGAAACATAAGATAGCATAAGGGTAAGTAATCTCATTCTCATTTTACTCAGAAGGGATTGAGATAAACAGGGATTGAATATCCTTGCTCAAAACCACATGGCTCTCGGGAGGCAGAGGCAGGCGGATCTCTGTGAGTTCGAGACCAGCCTGGTCTACAAGAGCTAGTTCCAGGACAGGCTCCAAAGCCACAGAGAAACCCTGTCTCGAAAAACCAAAAAAAAAAAAAAAACAAAAAAAAAAACCACATGGCTAATGGTGGGAAGAGATTGAATGAAACTTATCTGACTGAAGATCTATATGTAAAATCATCACATCCAAATTGCTCTAGAGGCCAATTACAGTACTATATACATATACTTGATATGTACAAATGGATATCATGTACATATGGATATATACTTATGTATATATGACATATACACATATATAAGACATATATACATTCTATATATGATATGTATAAATGGATAGCACTACAACATACTTTATATATAGTTATAAATCATATGTAGGCATATAGATAGATAGACCTACTGTACCTCCTCCTACATATACATATATAAAGTGTAGTTTGAAGAATAGGCACAGTAAGATATCAACAACAGTAATGAATAGAACGATAGTAATGTGTCTATAAGATGCAAATTACTTATTGCTGGAATTTTCCATTAAGTGTTTGCGGATCACAATCGACTACAGATTAATCTGTAAGTGAAATCGTGGGTGGGTGGGTGGGTGCAGAGGTGGCTTCCTTTATCTTCAGTCCCTTCTTGTGTCAGCAGCCCAGCTGGCTGAGTAGGGGCCACAGAACAGTACCGGGGTAGGTCCAGTCCATCTGCATCTTCAGATGCCGCTTCTGAGGATGGTGGCTAACCAGTGATTTAATACAGCCGGAGACAGCTAGAACGAACAGGCCTCTGAAAGCGATGCTCTCGTGCTCAGGAATCTTCAGACACTGGGCAAGTCGACATGACAGGAGGGGGCAAGCATCAGCCTTCCTCGAAGACGGCATCAGACCACACGGCTTCTCTTAGTTCCACCTAGTCTCAAGCTGAAATCTGTCCTGAAAAACTGCCCATAACAGAAAATTGGGACACCCCAGGGGTCTGGATGTTCTCATCTGACCTCTTAAAACCCGGAGCAGATGGACCAGTGTGTTTTCTTTGGCTTCCCCCATGCACTTGAGAGTGAGAGTCCATTCTTAGAGATTTTGGTTTACCCATGGGGTGGAGAGGAAGGAGAGTGTTTACAACGGATATTTTGGAGTAGGACCTGACTTGACACTAACTTAGCTACCTCAGGGATACTTGGCCCAAAATAAACACTAATTCATGTCTAAAAATCTTGGCCACAACAGTATAAACTTAGACAATATTAGCCGGTAAGTTCTGATGGAGTGTGTGCTTCCTCAGGAACATCATCTAGGGTTGTTTATCTAAAAAGAACTTCCGGTTCATAAACATTGACTGTGTGCCAGAGACACAGGTGGGGAGCAGGGTGGGGAGACTGTTTGCACTGGAAGCCTAAGAAGCCTCGGGCAATGGGAAGCGGTTGTGGGAAGAACTTTGAAGCTGTCTGCGAGGTGGTGTTGGAGAAAAGTAACCCCGCCTCTTGCTTTGCAGATCGGAAACCTGGATGATTACTACCATTTTTACCACAGCAAGACCTTCAAGCGATCGACCCTAAGTAGCAGAGGCCCTCACACCTTCCTCAGAATGGACCCACAGGTATGAGCAGGGCAGGAGCCTTCCTAAGGACTATCTGGCACTGCCCTCTTGAAAGTGGACCGTAATGCGACTCTATTCTAAAATTTTAACTCAGTATCTACTTTGGAGAAAAATGTAGCAGAGATATAGAAACATGTCAGATCCACTAAATGCCCTTGATGTTTGTGTCTTGCTCAGAGAAAAAATACTTGATTTTAGTTAAAATGATAAAAATCTACCAATATTTTAAAAAGTCAATGGGGCTTGGAAGATATCTCATTGGTAGACTCCTTCTCCGGCATTCACAAGACCCTAGGCTCCACTCCCATTACTGCAAAAGTTAATTAAGAAATGCAATCATTACAAAAGATACAGATATGATTCTTACCCATAAGTCAAAACCCTTAAAACAAGTATTTAATAATGATACAGTGATCAGGCAGAGAGAAACTCTTTCCTGGATGTTATGACACTTTTCTTACTGGTTGCCATGGGCTTAAATACCAGGGTGTTAAATATGACTCTTTCCTCAAAAATTTATGTGATCTCCTTCAGATTTAATTAAATTCATTCAAAAAGTATTTGTGTAACCCATACTGACTGGGTCAGTAAATTATGCTTCCTTCCTACCTATATTTGAAATTAACATTGGCAAATATCAGTCAGAAGATGCCTTTGGTAAGATCGGGAATGCACAATGGGCTGGTGGGCCTCTCATAAGTTCATTTATTCAGTAGGTACTTATAAATACCCGCTGTGTGGTTCATTCTGCCTACAGCAATGAGGCTGACAGCTGGGCTGACCAAAAGTGAAGCAATAACTGTGATCTGTCACAGGGAGATCTGTGAGGAGAAAGGATGCTCATGTGAGGAGCAGCACTAACCACAAAGGAGTGTGGCCCCTGATAGGCCAGCCTTTTAAATGTAATAGTCATCTCGCCTTCAAAGCAATGTGCTAAATGCCACTCTGAACCCACTTCCTGGTGCACACAATCAGCCCAGAGTTCCCAGAGAACATCTACAATAAAGTTACCATGAAAGAGGAGTTTTTTGATGTTGCTGCAAGTCATTCCGCTGGCAGTCATGGCTTCATTGTTGACAGAGCTGAGGGATGGGGAAGACGGTTCATCCCTGATCACAGTGATGAATTACTTCATGCTGGGGCATCACTCTGCAGCATTCTGGCTTGAAGTACAGGGGAGGTAGCCCCATTCATGGAAGTGGACTGTGAAAGACAGAACTATCTTGAAGGTTTATGTGGATCCATTTTATAGGCTAGTGGATGAGAAGATGGATGGATGGATGGATGGATGGATGGATGGATGGATGGAGACTGATGCAGGGTGGACAAGTGGATGGATATATGGATGAATGGGTTTATGGGTGGGTGTATGGATAAATGGATGGATAGATGAATGGATGTACACGTGGATGATGGATGAATGGATGGACACGTGGATGATGGATGGATGGACATGTGGATGATGGATGAATGGATGTACACGTGGATGATGGATGAATGGATGGGCACGTGGATAATGGATGAATGGATGGACACGTGGATGATGGATGAATGGATGGGCACGTGGATGATGGATGAATGGATGGACACGTGGCTGATGGATGAATGGATGGACACGTGGATGATGAATGAATGGATGGACACGTGGGTGATGGATGGACACGTGGATGACGGATGAATGGATGGACACGTGGCTGATGGATGAATGGATAGACACGTGGATGATGGATGAATGGATGGATGGATAGATGATGGATGAATGGATGGACACGTGGCTGGTGGATGATGGATGGACATGTGGATGATGGATGAATGGATGACACGTGGATGATGGATGAATGGATGGACACGTGGATGATGGATGAATGGATGGACAAGTGGATGACGGATGAATGGATGGACACGTGGGTGATGGATGAATGGATGGATGGATGATGGATGAATGGACACGTGGATGGTGGATGATGGATGGACACGTGGATGATGGATGAATGGATGGACACGTGGCTGATGGATGAATGGATGGACACGTGGATGATGGATGAATGGATGGACACGTGGATGATGGATGAATGGATGGACACGTGGATGATGGATGAATGGATGGACACGTGGATGATGGATGGATGGACACGTGGATGATGGATGAATGGATGGACACGTGGATGATGAATGGATGGACACGTGGGTGATGGATGGACACGTGGATGACGGATGAATGGATGGACACGTGGGTGATGGATGAATGGATAGACACGTGGATGATGGATGAATGGATGAATGGATGGATGGATGAATGGATGGATATGTGGATGGTGGATGATGGATGGACATGTGGATGATGGATGAATGGATGGACACGTGGCTGATGGATGAATGGATGGACACGTGGATGATGAATGGATGGATACGTGGGTGATGGATGGACACGTGGATGGCGGATGAATGGATGGACACGTGGGTGATGGATGAATGGATAGACACGTGGATGATGGATGAATGGATGGATGGATAGATGATGGATGAATGGATGGACACGTGGCTGGTGGATGATGGATGGACATGTGGATGATGGATGAATGGATGACACGTGGATGATGGATGAATGGATGGACACGTGGATGATGGATGAATGGATGGACACGTGGATGACGGATGAATGGATGGACACGTGGGTGATGGATGAATGGATGGATGGATGGATGGATGGATGATGGATGAATGGACACGTGGATGGTGGATGATGGATGGACACGTGGATG